CAATACGTTCATTTGATTGAATGGATCATTTCTTGTATCCATAGTTCAAATTGATCATGAGAGTGCTAATAGGTTGCATTAACCACATCATTTGCCTGAGAATATTTGAGTATATGCAACCTGGTGATTTAATGTTCCACCAACTCTATACTTATAGAGTTTCTCAAGATCTATCATCTCATATACAGATTTCAACTATTCAAGGTTTGCTCATATTTCATTTAGAGTACCATAATGATAGTTGTAAATCTTGAACTTGTCTTCTTTATATCCCTTTTCAGATAAGTTGTCTCTTCACATGGATATACCCTTTTAATCTAGTCTATTTCAATCTCGAAAGTGAATGTTTCATTCTCAATGAGAACGTACTCAACTGTCAAGTGAATTGACATGGGTTATGAAAGTACATCAACTACTTTCAAGTTTCAAATATATGTCTCAATCAAGACCCTAATTGAGATATTTATAACCCACATTTGTTATTTGCATCTCTTATACTTTAGAGGACTAAGTAGTAGAACAGTAACGTTCAATATAGGAGTATATGTTTCCCTTTTGGATAAATCCAGGGCGCTTGTGAGAAACTCTCAAGACCTTACAGTTTCTCAATACGCTTTATGACAAATACTAATTTATGTCCTACAGGCTTTACACTTGATCGGTTGGCACTTACCACACCAAATACCTGTCTCTTTGTCAAAGAATCAAGTTCTACCTGGATTACATATATTCATTTAGGTCAATGCTCGTTGTTATTATACTACAATAGAGCTAGGTTCGATATCATCGTGCTATGTAATTACTTGAGCCACGATATAAGAATATATATTGTCAATATAAGTGTAAGCTCTTTACATGAGTGCATACACATTCTCATAACCATTTATGTTGAAATTTCCCTGGAATCTAGCTACACTTTGGAGCGTCCTCCGGTAGTGATTCTTGGACATAAATCAGGAAAAATTTAATGAGATAGATGACAAATGTACTAGGTTGTTCCTTCATCACACTCTACACTTTAAAGTGGATAGTTAATCGAACCAAGTGACCTCCCCCTATTCCTTTAGAGAGTCACGACCTCAACCGTACTCCCACTTTGTACGGTTGCAATGCTTCTTCCTTTAGCATTGTATCCCTTACTAGGGTTTTAAACCATGCAGACATAGTTACAACAATTTATAAGATGTAGTCACTTTAAGAATGTTATATCGATGAGTCTTTTAACTCATCATCATATTGTGATGTTTGGGGATCAGTATTGAGATAGAGCAGGGTCATTTTACAGAAACTTCTTGTCGTTCCCTTAGAGAATCTTTTCTCTTATCTCCCCCTAACGACAGGAAGACTGTCTCAATAAAGTGACAAATCACTAGTGTAATGGTATCTGCCAAGGTTGGATAATGGCGGATCATAGTTGGAGATCCATGTCCAATATGATTACTGTTGTGTTAGAGACCCATTATTGTGTGTTGTGGGGAACACAGTAGGCACATATACTTCACAACCAAATATGCATAAAGTAAAATCTCAGGCTAATGTGCAGTTACCAACTGGTATGCATAAAATTGGTGTAATAGTATTGGGTCAAACACATATGAGTATAGTTGCATGCAAAAGTTATTTTATCCCATGATGTTATATACATGTTAGTGCGCTTAATAAATATCATAATCCCCATCTAAGTTCTTTTAAATGTGATTGAAAATGATACCATTGTTTCATATATGTATGAGATACGTACTTTGATCCCAATAAAAGTGCAATAACAATCATATACTTTGTTATGGACTTTTCTAGTTTTGACAAGTATTATATATA